ATTTGAAGTGAATCGGATTGGCTATAATAGACGACTATATTCAGCCAATCAAACGTTCCAGCGTGATTCAACATAGTAGAAAGCGATTTATCACGATTTATAGTATATATTTACAAGATATCAACCTGTCAAAAGGCGACCAGAACTAACCAGCCTCCATATGTAGTCTTCGTGTATAATTACAATCTAGTACCTCGGGGGCATCTTTGTTGGTTGTATGACCCAGTCCACACGCGCCATACACGTTTAGTCCCCACGTAAGCTACATCCAAGAGTCATTCATCATGTCAAACACACTCACAAATGTCAACTATATTATATTGGTTGAAATAATATTTTTAAATATATATATATATATATATTACCAGCACATTGTGTTGCGTGGTCGCGACCGAATGGAAGGCCCCGCAGTACACGTGCAGCACTCGATCCATCGCCAAGCAAGTCGACACGTCGACCAGTTGGGGCACTGGCTAAACCATGAAATAGCGTTAGAATTTCAAACATATAATTTTTGAAATACGATATTTATATATTTTGTTTAAAATTTCCTAAAAAAGTAGATACAATTCCAAACGATGAAACCAAACCTAACATAGAAAGTGACGTGGATGGCTTCTATTGCATAAGTCAAGATATATATACCATATACGGGTGAAATACAGCATCCCCACGCATTTACATATACAGTAACCCCGAAACAACATTAGTAAATGCACTCTATACATTATTCCATTCTGAACGCAACTCTTTCGACCTAATGTGGAATCGATACAGGACGGACTAAATAATAGTAAAGCAACAAATATAGTTTAATAATTATAGCCTGGTGACCATACGCGTATAGTAAATACACCAACATGCCATGCTAGTTTGTCCATTCGGTATCGGATCGACCAATCACATCCCAGAACCCAAATCAAGCAGCCAATCAAACTCTCTCGCCAACGATGCTACATTGAATTCGTATATGACTACTAATAGTAGGACACATAGTACAAATGGACGTGTTTTCCATACAAAAAGTCAGTACAATAGAATCGACTGATGGTTGTGGCCACGAAGAACCCGCACAAACATCAAAAGGGGTTGCCAAACAGCACACAACCTATATATATATATATATATATATATTCGAGAAACGACGGTTGCCGCTAATAAATACGAGTATTTCCATCCCCCCATCATATAGAAAAAAACACACACACACCGTGTCGCAGATCCCATGAACCGAATATGTGGTGGGTTATCTTTTTTTCCCTTACTTGGTAGATGGTTTCTTTGCCCAGTTGACCGTATTCACCCAATCCCCACGAAAACAACTCGCCCGCATCCGACACGGCCAACGTGTGCGTGTAGCCACACGCCACGTCTGCGATCTACAAATATATATATATATAATATATGATGGAATATCGTACAGTGTACGGACGAAGCGCGTCGACGGGTACGGGAGTCCACTGGTCCGCCTCAATATACCCAAGACCGCACTGGCCTTCGGCCTGTTTGCCCCAACTCAACACTTGGCCAGACATGGTCAACGCGACCGTAAAATTCCATCCGCAACACACCCGCTGCCACGTCATCGTCGATGGAATCGCAGTCGGCGTCTACCGCGTACATGGAAAAGAGTCATATGATGCATTCTATTCAAAGTAGATAGTCCAATCGAATAGTAGTAGTGGTAGTTCAACAATCGACTAGCCAATGAAATTGCTTCAATCCTAAATTCCAACCAATATATAATGGTGAACGTCCACCATTTGTCCCCGTTGAAGTATTTATATTCCATTTTCGTACAAGTATACATTGTATGGTATACAATGGTGCTTTGAGTCGATTCTCAAATATAAACTGCCCAGTCCAAATTTGGGTGAAAACGGCAATATGAGTTTTTGATAGTATCCCACTTGAAGTGTTTTGTGTAATAACATAGGGGGATTCCAACGACAGATATTGTCAAATGAGTTTGCTCAAACAATTTTAAATACATAAGTATAACAAGTACCATAGCACAAGGTTGTTTTGATTCGATATATATATATATACAGTATGGAGATTTGGGATATATATATATATACCGTTTGAAGGAGGAGTGCCGTGGAACCAAGACCCAGTCGGCCATGCTTGCCGCGCCCAAACGTAAACAACTGATGGGAGGCGGTGACTACTGCCGTGTGCGCCCCACCGCAGCTGCCTTGCACCACCCTATATTGAATATAATTATATCTTGCACGAAAAATAATAAATCATCTAGAGGTATATATATACTCTTTGCATACGATACAATGCGGTTGAGACCATCGACGAGTATACTGTACGTATGATACAAACAAGTAGGGCCAATAAATAATCGATTAAACGCACCGTTCGCCAAGTAAACTCATGACTTTTCGAGGCACGGGGCGATCTCGAACGTCGCCATGGCCCAACCGTCCGTCTTCCCCACTTCCCCACGAGTACAACTAGCAAAACGAGAATAATAAATTCCTGCATAAATTATAATATTAAATAGCCACATATAAATTATATTAAATAGCCAAATATACATATATGTATATTATATAAGTGATTAGTACATATGTCGAAGTATATATAGTCGTATCCGTTCCAATCTTTGGAAGTCGAATGAATATCGACAAAATGTATTTTAGAATATCCTAGCCAATCAAAATTCACTCTTGGGAAATTTCAGCCAATCGTCAATCAGTAAAGCTTAACCCCCACTTAAAATGATGTTCATCTTCAAATTTGTATACCATACATTGAATAAGCTGCAGTGTTTTGACCCTCAAGTCAATTCTCAAATCAGCTGCTAAAATCCCAATTTCAGCGAAAACGAGAGACACCATATTATTATGGATTTTCTCCAAATTTCCTATTTTCATGGTGAGCTCAAACCACATCGAGACTTCTGATTGGCTAATATCCATCCATTTCCATACAAAATCCAAAATGTATTGTAGCCAATCAGGAACAACTAATTTCAGGTTGACCAAACAGAGAGATGGGTGCTCGGTTCGATCGCGCGAGATTCGATTGAATTCATACCGAATCACCATATATATTCCAATGAAACCCTACAGACAGCCAACCGCATCATAGACACGAACGCCGACTAGTAGTACTAGTAGATATTCCAGCAAAAATCCGCGATTGTCCAAATATATATATAGACACGACGTACTTCGCCGACGTGGGTGATGGCCAACGCGTGCTGCGGACCGCATGCCACAGACACCACCACGCTTCGATGCAGTGCTTTGTCCAGTGCAAACTGCTCCACGAGCTGGGGACTGTCGAGGGACTGACCTTTTTCATCTGGGTTGTAGCTGTACACTTCGCCCGACCCTAAGTATTACGCGTGTGAACAACAACGTTCGTCGAGGCATATATATATATATAATAGCAGGTATGTTTGCCTATACATGTATTCATGGACGAATATATATATATATATTTACACATCGCTGGCTAAATCATATGCATCAACCTAATACATATGTAGCGGGGTTGAAGTACGTGTTAAAAGAACGCTTTTTATTTTATTTATGATCAACAAATTTACAAAATAGCCACCAAAGGGGGTCGGGTTGGTGACTCGCACATACTAGTCGATATGGACATATTCACATACTTGACGAATGTATATATATTTATATATTTGCAGGATATATGTATGTATATATATATATACATATAATGGATGTGTACCTGTGAGAAAGAGAACGCGGTCGCCACCACACGCGACTTGTGCAATGTCTTGGCCGATTTTGATTGGCTGCGGCGTCGGTCGTAACAATGGCGTGGTCGCATCGGGCAACCGACCCCACACATACACTAACCCATATATCCATAAATAAATAAATATATACATATATATACAATTCCTTTCATTATCCACAAATAAATAAATATATATATATATTTCAACGGCCAGATACACTTTGGTCGAGAACGTCCAAACATATGTATATATATATATATATTCCTTTCAATAACGTCAAATAAAAATAAATATATACATATATATATTTCAATGGCCAGATACACTTTGGTCGAGAACGTCCAAACATACTGAAAAGCAAGTTAGCACATCACTTGAAACCATTCCCAGCAATGTGCCCATCCAAAGCGATAGTAACAATCCTACATGACGAATACTTCTAATCTTTTAAAACCCATCAACATATGCACAACTGTATCCCACATTTCCCACCTTGGGGGACCGCAAATGCCACTGTAGGTCCATCGTTCTTGGTGCAAGTTGCGTCGATAGCAGTAGCCACAATGTCGCAGTGTGGCGATGTCATATCCTCGTTGCACTGTGTCGCAGGTTCGGTCTTGACGGTGGGACACGGCGTGAGAAACTCGATGGCGGCGGCGCGGAAGGCGGCGGAGACGGCAGCTAAGGTGGATTGTAGAGACGTTTGCATCGCTGCCCGCTCTTGGCGGTATCGACACGCTGGATACAACACAGGAGCATTCGATCCCCAATACGTGGCCTTGACTTCGGGCAACACCTGACGAGAAAGCATATATATACACATATTTCGCCACAATGTATATATATTATATATTTTGTTGTGTTTAGTCTTTAAACTCGAGCGATAATAGAGAATGGAATCGATATATTGACACAACTCCCAAATACATACATAAGACTTAATTGACATACATAAGACTTAATTGTTTATAACCAGAATGCAGGAAATCATGATCAACTAATTTCGTGTATGACTTGAATTAGTGTGATTGCAATCCGCACAGATCAATTCGATACATACACAATTCAGTACTTATTTCAAAGAATCGATCGATAGATTTGGCAAAGAAACAGCACACAACTACGTCCAAATTTTGGGTAAAAGAAACACAATAGAACAACACGCCGTCGTGTATAATTAATAGTATGATCGATTTGTCAAACCTATATATATAAATCATAGTATCTACTTTTGGGTAAAGAACAATACCACCACGCACTAAAATATATATATATATATATACAGGATACCAAACAATCATCGTTCTTACGTCGTGGCAGAGGTGACGAATGGGAGCCACGACGTCCTGTCCACATGTTTGCTCAAGGTGCTTCCAGCGCTCCATGGAGAAGTTTAGGGCTGATGGAAGCGGCGGGAGTAGCGGTGCGGGAGAGCTGTCCTCTGACGCAGTAGATCCTGGGTCTGGTTGGGCAGCTGCAGGTACTGTACATACATATATCAATCACATGGGGTTTGTCGATTCATGTCCAAATATTGCGCATTACACCCCAATTTGGACTTGTGAGTCATATCTCCAAATAGAATTCGAATCCATTTGATTTAAGATTGTACAAACTATACGATACAACGATGAGTATATATGCGGTTTTGCCGCCCAATGCGGAAAAGGACTGGGTCACACATTTGCATTGGCAGAAACTCAACAGAATGACGTGATTTGATTGGCTTAGGCCGTTCATACATCCCTCCATTCATTTTGGACGTTTCGATTCTGCGGAGGGCCCTCCAGTTTCGAATAGGATTTATCATCGGCAGAATTAGGATTTAGCCAATCAAGTTGCAGGAAACCATCCACAACATGTAATTAATGTGTGTGACTTCAATTAGTGTGATACCAACCACCACAGGACACCGTTTTATATACAAAATTCAGTACAACATCGACCTAATCGATCAATAGATTTGGCAACACACACAAGTCAACCACATTTTTGGGTAAAACAAACACAATATATATCACGTCCAATCAACGATACATACCTACAAAGATCAACATCATCAACGACGTACCGAGTAAATTCATTTTCGATAGCCGCGTCATCTCAACTTGCACGGTCTCCGTGGCCTGCGACAGCGTTTGGGCCGCTTGTACATATGCTTGCACGACATTCCATAGCGCATGGCACTGGCTTTCGACTTGCAGCACGTCGTTGCGGAGGTAGTTGGACAGGTCCAACTGAGTGGTCGTCGTAATGTCGTCTAACAGCAGGATATCGTCATGAGCTTGTCCAAATGTATATACATATATTGTGCTTTCGAGTGAAATCTCAGTGGTTTCTCGTTGGAATTTAAATCGGTTTGATTGGCTACCTCAGTTGAGCTCAAAATTATTAACCAATCGAAACCTTCTAAATAAAATTCAACCTATCAGATCGATTGTGGATCAATTTGGTCAACGATTGCACCCCCTCCCGAAATTTGTATGAAATCGACAATACATAGTCTATATTATGCATTCGATTCAAAGATGGAGTGGGTAGTCCAATCGAATTGCAGCAACCCAAACGCAGACAATCGACTAGCCAATGACATTGCTTCAATCATAAATCTCAACCAATGGTAAAAGTCCGGCCCAAGGCTTTCGCCCATTTGTCCCAGTTGAACTACTTATATTCCATTTTCGTATGGTATACAATTCTGGTTCGAGTCGATTTCTCAAATATAAAGTGCCCAATCCAAATTTGGGTGAAAAGGACAATATATATATATATATATATACATGCAGAAGATGCAGATATCTATCTACACACGATTCCAAAACGGCGTCTGCATCAAAAAAATGCATACATCCTCGTGCCTTGTAGATGAAAAACATTAAAAATATGTTGCTATAATTTAAATATGTTTCTATAATTTAAATATAATAAAACTTAATATTTCAAGTTATAGGATAGTGTGATGAATGGGATTGTTCCTAAGGAAAGGTCCAAGCATAACAATATATGGATTGACGTCAAAACGCAAATGGATATATATACTTATAAAATATATATTGACACCACAACACAAGAATATATATATATAAAGAAAATGGTTGAGAATCATGGGGTGGTGTGCGTGCAATTTATTACCTCGGACGTGACGGCCACCTTGTTCTTCTTCTTCAATTTCTTCGTGAACAATGTTCTCGTGAAAACCATCTCCCCCATCGCCCCACCCCAGGGTGCTCAGTGATTCCGACGACTATCCATATATATATTTTTAAATATTTCACATATATATACGTACAATGGATGAGAAGCGTGATGAACTCACGCCGGATCTGTCTGAAGACAAGAGAAAGTCCCCTGGATGGGCCCAGTCGGCCAGAGGCGGGTGCGCCGGCGGCGGCGGCCGGTTTTTGTGCAAATGTAAAAACTCGGAAAAGATCTACAACCAATGCATATGTTGATATCAATTGTTATGGCAAATAATATATTAGCTTGAGCAAAAACTCGAAAACGATCTACATAGTCATAATTATGAATATCATGTATAGGTCAATCATTATAGCAAATATTAGCTTGGAAAGAAAACTATGCAGTTCGTCGAGCACGACTACATGCATATATACTATATAACTATTGTGCTTTCGAGTGAAATTTCGTGTGGTGGCGTGGTTTCTCGTTGGAGTTTAAATCGATTTGATTGGCTACCTCAGATGAGCTCAACATTATTAGCCAATCAAAACCTTCTAAGTGAAATTCAACCAATCAGATCGATTGTGGATCGGTTTGGTCGGCGCGATTCGATTGCACCCCGTCCCCAAATTGTATCAAATCGACAATATATACTGTATATATATATCAAGCATACAACAATAATACTCCATGGACAACAACAGGTACATGTGATGGCCGTCGGTTCTGTGAGCAAGACAGGCATATAAGCATATAATTGTAGACAGTTCGTAAAACAACACATGGAGACATTCCATGTGATGATGGATACGCGGAGGAATGGGATTCGTCCGCCAATGTTGTGTACCTGAATGTCCCGACGACTTGTGATCGACGACGGAGCGCCAGAGTCGTCGTGGATGTCGTCGCATCGGCGCTTGAGTTCTGCAAAGATCTCCTCCACAAAGTGCCGCAACCCGTCGTATCTAATACATCGCCCGTCGATACCATCACCAGGGGTATGCAAGAAAGGACTACGTGTACCGATGGGCGAGTTGTTCATCCGAGAGCGGGTACGGTTGCAACGCATACTTTGGCGGAAGGCCCACCGACGTCTCAAAGTGCAACTTGGTCGAAAGGATCGCGATCTGAGAGTACCGCCTAGACGAGGTCGCCTGAGTTACAA